TGTTCTGTGTGGTAGGCTAGGCTGAGATAAGGCAATTAGCCCAGGGTCACCCAGTGTGCTTCATAGCTGAGTGGGGCTTTAACCCCCCCCCTCCCATCTTCCCAGCCTGACACTCTAACTTTTATGCTATACTGACTTTCACTAATAATAGCTTGAGTTTGGGAGACGGAAGCAATCTGGAGTCATGTTGTACCTTTAAAGAAGAAGAATTTTGATTGTGATTAGAAGAAGAAGAAAAGATTTTCATTAAAAATCATTTATACATAAATATAATTAAAAAGCATCCTACACATATATAATTAAAGTAATGCAAAAGTGCTGTGTTATCCTGAAATGTATTGCTCCAATACATCGCAAATAAAGTCAATTGCTCTAAAAATCCATTTAGCTGATCATGAATTGTTATTCTATAATATGTTAATTTAGACATTGTTGCAACAATCCATATTCTGACTATGGCGTGTGTCGATTTAGCATTACGGGACTGCTGGTGGCTGATTTCACATAATCTCCCTTAGGTTATTTCGGTTCTCCAAAATTTCATCCTTCTGTTCAGCATGTATCTGAAGCTACATCACAATAATATACAAAGTTGTTTGCAATGCGTATTTTTAGAAAAAGCCACTCTGAACAAGATTAAATTGTTTGTGTTTGTTTGTGATGTGTGGCCATTTGGCTGGCCTTATGGGTGTTTATTCCCTTTGCTGTCACTATGGAACTTCTCCACCCACTGAGTTATCCACCATTGGCCTGTCAAATGTGTCTTTTAAGGCTGACTGCCACATGGGAACAATGCAAAGGAACAACAAACGATTTAACAGTTTGGCAATCTGCTTATTCCTTGTCTATCCTCCTCTTCCTCCAAGGATATCTGAATGTGTGCAAGAAATAGTCATTATTCTGGATCATCTGAATGTGTATGAAAACAAACATGGCTTTAAGCCCCCTTTTTTTAATCTGGCACATCTTCAGTCGTTGCAATCTCAAAAGCAGTTGCACAATAAAACCTAGCTCACCCTTTTACAGGAGGAGTAAAGCCACCATAGGGTCACCATGTGTTTTTACAGGGATGATGTGAAGCAGCTGCCTATTATTTCACTGTGTGTTCGCTGCTCAAAGATGCTTCAGGCATCTTTGTTGCTAAGCGTTCTTGCAGAGAAATAAATGTGATGGGTTTCACTTACAAACAGGGGTGTCAACTTGAATAAATATTTGGGAGGGCAGATTAGCCCCACTCTGCATAATTTATCACATGATACAGTACACACACACTATTTGAATGGCAATGCCTATCAACTTTGGGGGGGGGCTCAAAGATTTTATGGGTTGGGTCAAAGACCCCTCATTCCCTAAGAATTGGCCCTAATAATAATAATAATAATAATAATTTGTTTATTTGCTTGTTTATACCCTGCCCACCTGGCTGGGTTTCCCCAGTCATTCTGGGTGGCTGCCAACAGAAATATTAAAAACACAATAAAACATCAGACATTAAAAACTTCCCTAAACAGGGCTGCCTTCAGATGTCTTCTAAAAGTCAGATGCAGTCATACCTCGGGATAAATATGCTTCAGGTTGAGTGCTTTCGGGTTGCGCTCTGCGGCGACCCAGAAGTAACGGGGTGCGTTACTTCTGGGTTTCGCCACTCGCGCATGCGCAGACGGTCAAAACGATGTCACGCGCATGCGCGGAAGCTGCAAAACACAACCGCGCACGCGCAGACACGCTGTCGTGTCTTACGTTCTGTTTGGGATGGAAACGGGCCTCCGGAACGCATCCTGTTTGCATCCCGAGGTACCACTGTAGTTGTTTATTTCCTTGACATCTGATGGGAGGGCGTTCCACAGGGTGGGTGCCACTACCAAGAAGGCCCCCTGCCTGGTTCCCTGTAACTTCGCTTCTTGCAGCAGGGATGTTAAATTGTTAATATGTGAAAGTAGCAGTGATGAAACTTTCTTCACTAGGCACCTTGACGTATTTCGAGCCATTTTGGGGTACCACCTGATAGCAGCACACTTACTTGGTAGTAAGCGCCGTTGAAGTCAGTGGGGATAAGTGTGCATTGAATTGAGGTGCACACACTGTGTTTAATCCAGTTTACTGGTTTAATCAATGTATGTCACAATCAATGTTCAGATATTACTTGCCCTGGAAACTATTTGAGCCAATCAGCTGAGGAACTTGAATGTTTCACTTACTTTTCCCAGCTAAAATGACAAATTTGTAACAATTAAGTGTCCAGATGGGACAAATTCAAGTGCTTTAGTTTAACTGGACTTTAGAGCAGGCTGCCCTTTTCATTAATAACTCTGCACCAATCTATCATGGCTTAAAGAATCTCAGAAAGTCTAGTTTGCTGCAGAGAAATTTATTTTAGGGTGCTTCCAGATGACCTGTTTATTGAGCATTCATCTCAATATGTTTGCAGGGAGGTTAGACAATGTTGCTGTTTTAAGGAGCATTCACTTTGTTTCACTTGCCAGGAGGTTAGACAACGTTGTGTCAAAGCACGTGTCACCCCACACTTCACAGTGGTTTCCCCATCATTTTCCTTATCTCAAAAAAGTCTGATTCTGGAGGGAAGAGGAATTGTTGTACAAAAGCTATAAATCAGGTTTAATTGCGTTACCTGAATTTGCTAGTATGAGATTGAATTCCACCCCAAAAATATTAACAGTCTGGAAATGGCTATAATCCTAGTGATCCTCAACATACGACTATGACTATGTACACACGATACCTTTAAACTATATTTGTTAAGTTCTCATTCCACTTTGCTTTGGAAGGAATCTCATTAAATACTGCTCCATATTCTGTAGTTGTTGTTTTTTTAATGATGGCCAATAAATAATTTCCAGTTAATCTCATTCTGGAGATTGGTCCTTGTGAATCCAGATTTGACTCATCCAGGCAAGAATCTCTTTAGTTGGTGAGCTGCCAGACACTACAACTCACTAGGTACACAGTGTATCACTGAGTTCTTTATTCACAACTATTTCACAAAGGCAGAATCTAAGGTAAGGAAGGGAACAACTGATTAGGGCAGTTGAGGAGGTAATTGATTGCATCTTACTAAGACACTCAGAGTAGAGTCATGACTACCTTAAATCCATTGTTTACAGTGAGTCTACTCTGCGTATGACTTAGATGCAAATATACCTTTGTCATCTTGTTACCTAAATAGTGTTACATTATAGAGTACTCTAATGTAGCACTAAGTAACAAGTCTCAACTTGTAGGTCAAGTGTCTCTGGAGAACCTCAGACCTCTATCACGGGAGACCCCAAGGTTCTAGTCATCCCATCTAGCTCTGTGCTTTCATCTCTCTCTTCTTCTACCTTTGTTATCTACTGAGCTGAATCCTAGATCAATAGGATCCAGAATGTAGCAGTCTGACTGGTCCGCAGGAGCCACTCAATCCAGCTCCAGGTGGAAGTGAATCAGCCACCTGATTGGCCTGCAGGAGCAGCCAGTCAGGCTCCTGGATGAAGTGAACCAGCAAAGTGATTGGCCTGCAGGAGCAGCCAATCAGGCTTCTGGAGGAGGTGAATCCGCAACCTGATTGGCCTACAGGAGCAGGCCAGAATTAGCCAATCATGCAGGGCCCATTGTGTAAATAATGTATATATAGCTAGACATTTTGGGGAAAGTTTCATTCATTGCTACTATGAACTGAATAAAGAGCGTGAAATTCACACTCAACTCTGAGTACAGTGCTACCTCGGGTTAAGAACTTAATTCATTCTGGAGGTCCGTTCTTAACCTGAAACTGTTCTTAACCTGAGGTACCACTTTAGCTAATGGGGCCTCCCACTGCCACCGTGCCGCCACCACACAATTTCTGTTCTCATCCTGAAGCAAAGTTCTTAACCCGAGGTACTATTTCTGGGTTAGCAGAGTCTGTAACCTGAAGCATCTGTAATCTGAAGCATCTGTAACCCGAGCTACCACTGTATATTTCAACCTTCTTTTTTCTTTGTCTGCTGTCCATCAGTCCATCCACTTGCTTGCTCTATCTCTCCCTGTTTTTGCTCATAGGTTTATTGCTGAAGCAAATTATGACAACTCTCAGAGGATGGTCCTCACTCTAGCCGGTGTCGTGGTAGAAAGGACCTTCTGCTTCTGTACTAAAAAGAAATGCAGTTCTCTGCATGTGGACTAGTTTGTTCAGATGTGAAACGTGGTTTTATATAAGGCTGCTTCAGTGTTTATACAAGTGGAAACTTACAGTATATTCCCATCATTGGAAAAGTGCTGCAGTTAGAACAGGTACTTAGTACTACAGTTCAATCCTCTTGTGCTGGCAAAACATCTAGGAGGGAAGGGGTATTTCTTTATCTCTATAAGCTCAATTGCCACTGATATTTCCTAAAGGCTGGAAGCTCACAGATCATTGGGTTGTTTCAGGGGGGTTCTAAATGCTTTGTTGTCTTTTAATGTGAAAATATATGCACTTCTCCATACCTAAAATGTTCCCCTGGTATTCAGAAACCACAACCTCATTACTTATTTGCCCTGTTACATTTCCATACCAATAGGCACTCAGTCACTCAAGTTTGCTATTAAAACGCATTATGTTTGGAGGTAAGATCTATTGATACAAATGGAACGTAGTTTTGCAGGAACATGCTTATTGTTTCTATGCTCCTGCCCCACGTTTCTCACTTCATCTAGTGGCCAGATTGCTTTACTAAATTATCTATAATCTTCAGGCATCCCTAATTATCATTTTGAGTCTATTCTTATCTAGAGTGTCCTTGATTCTGTATAACATAGGAGAGTGATCTGGTAAGATATAAGAAAGCTGTAACATAAAAGAGCTTTTTTTAAAAAGAGCGTCTGGGGAGGGGAAGTAAGACCAAACAACTAGATGTTATAGACTTATAAACATGAGAATCAAGAGGTGTTAAGAACTCACGGAGATGATGGCAGAAGCCTTTTCTGTGAGTTCCAATTCCATTGAGAATTCTGAGCCAGGCTTTCATTCCTTGCAGCATAACCTACAACCTGCTTCCGATTGTTTGGCATCAGTAGAACATATGCGGCACCCAACTGCTGGGCTTAATGTTGTATGAATTGAATGCTAGACCCTTATCTATCATTTATTTGTCTCATGTGTATATGCCCATATATATTACAGACATTTTTTATTTAATTATTCAGGAATTGGCACATGAGTTGCATTATCTCATTCCTCTGGGTCCCCCTCACTGACAGAATAATGCAAAGGAGCCGTAGCTAACACTTATACTCTTTGGGTTGTTCATCAGGAAATAAGGCCTCATTAAACTGCCTGTATCACACAGCAAGAAATTATCCTTAAGGAGTGCCTGGCATCGAAAGCCTCTCTCATCCCTTATCCCTTCACCGGCTGCTGTAAGAAAAGTTGCATGGCTCAGTCATAATTTACAGGCAAGTCTCAATATTTGGGCTGTGTCATTTTGATGGATATAGAGCTGTCCCCACTACAAGGTCAACATGTGTATCTGTTTATTCGGGGAAATATATGGCACGAGGGAGAAAGAGCAGCGTGTCAGAAGGCTCTTTCTCAGTTTGAGGCTTCCTTCTCTGCTTACTGGGTGGCCTTTGGCAAATTCCTGCATTACAGCTTTCCCTTCTTTCTCCAAAATGTAAAATGGGAATAATGGCAACCTTACCCTAGGAAGATGTACAAAATGAAGTCTGTGCAACAGTCTCAGTAAAGGTGGTACAGTGGTACCTCGGGTTACAGACGCTTCAGGTTACAGACTCTGCTAACCCAGAAATAGTACCTTGGGTTAAGAACTTTGCTTCAGGATGAGAACAGAAATCGCGCGGCGGCAGCAGGAGGCCCCATTAGCTAAAGTGGTACCTCAGGTTAAGAACAGTTTCAGGTTAAGAACAGACCTCCAGATGAATTAAGTTCTTAACCCGAAGTCCTATGCACATTTACTTGGAAGTGAGCCCCACGGAGGGACTTCCTTCAGTGTAGAAATGAATAGGTTTCCACCCTTGATCTGAGAGCTGGCCCATGACAGCCCACTATTGATAACGTGTCTACTATGTTCTTGCGCTATTTCCATTCAGTGGTGCTTGTGCAAAAGAATAGCCATGCTAGGTAAAGGTAAAGGGACCCCTGACCATTAGGTCCAGTCGTGGCCGACTCTGGGGTTGTGGCACTCATCTCGCTTTATTGGCCGAGGGAGCCGGCATACAGCTTCCGGGTCATGTGGCCAGCATGACTAAGCCACTTCTGGCGAACCAGAGCAGCTCACGGAAACGCCATTTACCTTCCCGCCAGAGCGGTACCTATTTATCTACTTGCACTATGACGTGCTTTCGAACTGCAAGGTTGGCAGGAGCAGGGACTGAGCAACGGGAGCTCATCCCATCATGGGGATTCAAACTGCCGACCTTCTGATTGGCAAGTCCTAGGCTCAGTGGTTTAACCCACAGTGCCACCCGTGTCCCAATAGCCATGCTAGTAGGTGATATTTGTACTTATTAGACTCCAGCAGCATCTGAATGGTGCCACATTAGCTTCCCCACTTTATATTATTTCTACAGTTCTGTTAATTATTTATTTTTTAAGCTTCTTTGATTAGAAATTATAATATTGATTTCATGATGCATCCTTTTTTCATTATTACTACTATTATTACTGATGATGATGATGATGATATTAATCACTGAGTAAAACCCAGTGAAATCAATGAGCTTGAATAACTTGGGTTTACTCTGAATATGACTAATGTTGGAGATCATCCTTTTTTGTATTTAAATTGCCTGTCGCTGTTTCACTATGTTCTTGTTCATTTGATATGTTCATATGGATATATTGACTAACCTGTCATTTACCTCTCTTGTGCTTTATTATTGTTGTGACCTGCTTTGAACTCAACTTTCTTCTTGGAAGAACAGCACACAAAAATCAAAACAAATCATCATTTGGCAAAAGATGTATATATGAGCCATAAAAGTGGTGAGATAAGAGCATCCCAATGGATCTTTGAAGCTTAAAGCAATCATTTTCAAAGAATATTGTTAGAATGTTTATAATACATGAATTTCTGAGTGGTTTTGGAGACTTGAGACTGGTTTATAGAAAAGCAGAGAAGAAGCAACACAGAGATTTCCCAATGCTCCCCCAACCATTATCTCTAGATACCAGGAAGGCAGAAGAGCAGAATTCTGTCCTTAGGTCTATTCAGCTATTCATCAATTCAATAGAAACAGATTCCAATTATAATAATTCTCTTACTGTGTGGAAGTTACCTAACAATGTCACTCAGCAACTGTCAATGACTCCTGGACTCTAGAACCTGCAATGACTTCTAGCCATTCTCTGGCTGAAAGCCAATCGTTACCTGATTGTGACTTCCACAACGGCCTGTCCACTGCTGGAAACAAGAAACTGGCCTGCACGGTCCATTAATCTGATCCAACACAGCTCTTCTGTTTGAGGGATGTCAAATTTCCCAGCTAACCTAACACTAAGCCAGTTGAAGCACATTTACAAAGCACTAATGAAGCACTTCTCTGTGGGCCACAACACTTAGCATAAAGAAATTCCTCTTATTTCATTGGGATTTGTTCCAAAGTGTGTGCTTATGACTGTAGCCTTAGTGTGGGGCGGGGGTTAAGTGCTTCAGAGCTTCTGGCAGCAGAGTGCTTCAATGGGCACTCTGGAGAACCAGCTCTCCCATCCTGCCTTGAGGTCAAAGAGTGAAGAAAGATACCCTCAGGGTAATAGGAAATTGCCTAGAGTCTAGAGTGGCTGTAGGCAACTGTAAGCAGCTGATCAGGTGGGCACTTTGTAGAGAGCTACAGAATTATGGTGCTGGAGGAGACTCTTGAGAGTCCCGTGGACTGCAAGGAGATCAAACCTATCCATTCTGAAGGAAATCAGCCCACTGGAAGGACAGATCCTGAAGCTGAGGCTCCAATACTTTGGCCACCTCATGAGAAGAGAAGACTCCCTGGAAAAGACCCTGATGTTGGGAAAGATGGAGGGCACAAGGAGAAGGGGACGACAGAGGATGAGATGGTGGGACAGTGTTCTCGAAGCTACCAGCATGAGTTTGACCAAACTGCAGGAGGCAGTGGAAGACAGAAGTGCCTGGCATGCTGTGGCCCATGGGGTCACGAAGAGTCGGACATGACTAAACGACTAAACAACAACAGTGTTGCATGCCACTCTCCCATTCTCATAACCTTCTTCGTGCCTATGTGTCTTCCACTTGGGAACCATAAAGGCAAAAAACAGTAGCAAACCAAGACTAATCCAGGGTATTATGCCAGCCCATAAAAATGTGCCATGTATGAACATATGAAGCTGTCAGGCCATTGGTCCATATAGTTCAGTGTTGTCGACGCTGACTGGAAGCAGCTTTCTGGGGTTTCAGGAAGGGGTCTTTCCCAGCCTCACCTGGTGATACTAAGAATTCTACCCTGAGCTCCATGAACTCCCAAGACCCCTCTCAGTTCTTCAGAGTGCATCGTGCTGCATCAGCATTCCTAACAATATTGCCACCCTAAGCAACTGCTTGAGCTCTTTATGCAGTTAGGCTGGCCCTGGCCAAGGAGTATTGAAGTGAATCCAAACATCTCAGCACTCTCCTGCTTTGTCACTGTTCCATTGTGAGGTACCTACCAAACCATTTTCAATAGGTCTGCTGTAGCATTGTGGTAACAGGGCTTTTAAGCAGTTGGAGAGAAACAAAATGAGGAATGTGCTGGCTGTACAGCCTGTCACATGGTGAACCCCTTTCAATTACATACCCTCCAACATTTCTGCGATGAAAACAGGGACATCCCATTCCATAATGATAATTTTACTATTTATACCCCACACATCTTACTGGGTTGCCCTAGCCACTTTGAGCAGTACAATACTTAACTAACTGAGGTTCTGCCCCCAACATAAATCCTGGCTATGCCTATGTCACAGAATCCTATATTTGTAGAGTGGGAAGAGTTAACCTTTAAAGTAGCACAAGACACTTCATTTGTGTAGCAACTTTATTTTATTTCATCAGTTTTATATCCCACAATGTAAATACAATCATAAAACTTTTTTAAAAACAAAAACAAACAGCATTATCATCCACAGTTTGAAGACAAGAAGCAGCAGAGTCAGTAATAATACCCACTATATCCCAATGTCCTGAGCAAATAAAATAGTTTTCAGATTACACCTCTATACTGCTAGTACACGGCACAGTCGGATTTCACTCCTACTGGGGGGTGACACCCCATCATTGTCATCATGGCCATGAAGTCCTACCCTGGACAAGTCAAGGCCGTCCCAACATGGACAGTGAAGTCTCCCAATAGGATCCTCCAAAACTACATTGTAAACTACCTTCTGTGGGGGCAGTGGGAGGGGGGGTACACTAACAGCACCATTGTTTTCTTACCCAGCACGAAATGCAGACCCTCACACCCAGCTCCCAAGTCGGCAGATTTCCTAATGAAGAAGATGGAAGCTCTGTGTATTGATTGCAATATCCCACCTCCCAGCCCTCCAGTCTTCACAGATGGGGTACTGAATATCAAGCTGGGCAAAGCTGGGTGAAGTCCACACACACACCCCCAAAAAAAGTTGGCCACCCAAGTCTCTGTAATGCAGCCAAATCGGCCCCTTAACCCCCTGTCATCTTGCAACTAAGTGAGATCTTATTGTGGACTGGCCTGGAGACACCAGAAGCAATGACAGAGAGAAAGGCAGGATGAGATTTCGACTAAACATTAGGAAGAACTTTAGGGTGACCTCTTTGAAAGTGGAACGGACAACCTCAGAAGGTGGTGGATGCTCCTTAAATGGTGGTTATTTTTTAAAAAACAGAGGTAGATGGTCACCTGCCAGCAACTCTTGCATTGTAGGGGGTTGGATGAGCCTTGGTGCGCCCTATCAGTGCTATGATTTTATGTGGGGCAAGATAGAGAGGGCAACAGGCTTAGCCCTTCACTTCTCTTGACATCTGAGCTCAAGCCAGCACCTTTACTCCCGAGGTTCCACGATTGGGCTTATACTCCAATGCCTTTTCCACCTGTGCTCCTCTCATAGGAAACACTGGCAGGAGAGGGAGCCCACCCCCTCCCTTCTCTCGCATGAACTCTGTTTGACCCCTCTTCCTTCAAGGGCCTAAGACGGCATGAAAGCAGTCGTATATTTTACAATATATTCCCCTGCACATTAAAGCCCTTTTTCCTGCTGCATTTAGGCAGACATCGCTCGGGCTCTTTGTCTGCTCTTTGCCTCTCCCAACGATCAGAATGATCAGGTTGTGCTCCAGGATTTCCCCTAAATTAGAACAAAGGCGGTGTCTGTAATTTCAGATTTGAAGCTGAAGTCCTAAGCTAGAGGCAACGCGAACCTAAACGAGGTTTCTCAGAAGCAATTATTTAACTTAATTAATTAATAAATAAATAATAATAATAATAATCTGGCTGGGTTGCTCCAGACACTCTGTGAGGCTCCCAACACGTATAAAAACATAATATAACATCAAGCATTAAAAATTAAGTTAAATGGGTACGTTTAGGATTGCAACCGTACTCGATGATGCCCCCTCGGAACACAGTAAGACAAACTTTTCCATAATTTGCTTAGGATCGCGCTGTGCGTGTGAATATAAGTAGCAGTCAGATCATCCCACCTCTTTCTAGAAAAGGTTATGCGCCAGCTTTTGCTTGCTAGAGTTTTGCTTGCTATAGTAAAGGTTCCAACGAACTAAGGCAATGGGGTGTGAAAGATCGAAGAGCTTCTTCCAGGTGTGACTGGCCTCCAGCCATGGGCGTACTCATGATTTTCGGGGGGGGGGGGCAGAACCTCAGATTTGTATTGGTTTTGATTGATTTGGGGGCGGCAGCTGCCCCTGCCCGCCCCCCGGCTACGCCCATGCCTTCAGCAGCAGCGGAGCAACAGATTCCACTGTGGTGCCCCCAGATGCTGCCGAGTCTGCTCAAGTTTACTCGGAAGTAAGTGCCAAACGGATCCGCTTGGACCTACTTCCGCTGCGACTGCAAGCCTGTGCCAAAATACTTGGATTTGAGATTTCCCCCCCCTAATGGTTTGGAAATAGGTTAGTGATAGTCAGCGTTAATATCCAAGGATTTGGACTTCCTTACACGAGGCATGAGTCGTGCCGCTCTATAGAACCGTTCCCTTGGGGGCAGACCTTAGTGCCCCTCCAAAGGAACATTGCCATCACCAAAAGCCCTGGAATGGGAACCCAGAGACCCCTTGAAAACCTGAGTCTGGCATGGCTCCTTCTTTTAAAAAATGACTAGCATTCAGTTGTTGATGCACAGATGCCTTTAGAAATCATCATCATCATCAACAACAACAACGGTATAACTAAACGACATATATAAATGGGTTCCCAGTCAAACTTTATTCTTAAATTTCACTTTTTTCTTAAAGTCATGGTCTTCATTTAAAAGGGTTCACAACACGATCCGATCCCCACCCCCACTTTACATGTTTACCTGAGACACAATGTTTTATTCCCGTTCATCAGTCATGGCTTGCTTCCCCCAAAATATTAAGGCAGGATACATTATTTAACTGACACCGCCCTATATTCATACACAAAGAGAAGTGGGGGGAGGGAGAGGCTGCAGATCCTAACCCCGTAACCTGGTAGTAACCTCCATTGAATCCAATAAGACTTACTTCTGAATAGACATGGTTAGGATTACTCTGCGATTTATCTTCGAATTCCTAAGGGGCAATGTCGAAGACCAATATCGTAACCAGAAGGTCTTTACCAGGACACCAGTTTAAGATTATCCAAGTCTAGGAGTTACCTGGAAGTTATAATCAGAAGTGACCTTTTCTTGCCTCCTTACTCCTCAGCTCCCCGTGCCAACTTTGGTTGTTATTCCACAACCTTCTTTTCCACTTCTTTTTATCACACGAAGGATCGCCATGAAAAACTAAAATAGGCCTCGCGAGGCGTTGTTGTTAAAGGAATGGAAGAAAGAACCTCGCGGGCTATTTGAGGAACTATAAAGAGAAGTTCTTTGTTTTGAGAAACCAGCTGAAAACTTAATTAAGAGAAGCATTTTGCTGAGCCAACACAAAACCAAAAGCAAAAGCAAAGAGTGACAATCAATGGAAAGGAAGTCCATCCATCTCAGAATCTCTTTGCTTTGCTACATAACATTCAAGAAATTGCATTTATTAATGAAAAATTAAAACCAGTATTTATATTAAAAAACAAAAAAACCGGCACGACATTAATTACACTGGAAATCCCATCTTAAGCCAACGTGCTTATTGAAAGCCTCACTTGGTTGCGCCGGATGTTTCCGGAGAGCACAGATTTGTTTAGAACCACAGCCGAGCCCTCCAAAGCAAAAGGAATTCAAGTCACCCACCACTGCTTTCTAGCTAATGATTGCGTTTACATGCAGGCACCTCGAAGCAGCAGCACTGGGAAGCCCTGGAGTATTTCAAAAGACATTTCGAACCAAGGCCTAACGTTTGAAAAGGAAAGTTTTTCAAAGGCGAGAGAGCAGCCCTTTTATGAAGCACATGGCTCTCCATCTTTGGTTTCTTTTGTACAACACACACACACACACACACCCTTGGGTTCTTTCCAAAACACATACAAAAAAAGGAAAACACACAAAGATTCAAAACAATCAGAGGTCCAGCTGAGCAAGCCTAAGATTTTCTGCCCTTAGTATTTCCCACGAGACTTCCTCGTGAGTAAGCAAGCCTAAGGTCAAATAAACTCAGCAAGGCCAACCACAAAGTTTAGCAGTACACAGCGGCCTAAGAGCAGCTTTCCCTGAAATGCAAATAAATAAAATGTAAACAAGTCAGACGGTGCCATTTGTGCCTTGAGCGAGTTCTGCGTAAAAGCAGCAAACGTCCTTCATTCTACACGTGATAAAGCCAGCCTTTTCCCCAAGGGGAGTGCAACAACATCAGTGCAATGGTTGTCTTTCTAAATAAAACAAAGCAATCCCCTCGTCTTAGAATGTGCACGATTTAACACCATTCAGAGCTTTCGGGTTTATCTGGAGTTTTTGTTGTTGTTTAATTCTCTTGAGTCTTTTCAGCCTCCTGCTGCTCCTAACGCCTCTCTGTGTTTCCACAGCCGTCAGGGCGAGCCCTGGGCTGGAGAAGAGGGAGCAGAACGCATCGCTGGCTGTGTCGGGCTCGACTCGGAGGTGGGGCTGTGAAAAGGCACCGCAGCGCAAGGGACGACCATCCCTTCCCGCTCCCTTTTCTTCTGTTTCATCCTCCGATTCTGGAACCAGATCTTCACCTGAGTGTCATTGAGGCCCAGGGATTTGGCGATCTCCACGCGTCGGGCCCGGGTGAGGTACTTGTTGAAGTGAAACTCTTTCTCCAGCTCCGTGAGTTGCTTGGTGCTGAAATTGGTCCGGACAGCACTGGGAGGGCTGGGAGATCCATAGGTGGAGAGCTTGCCTGCTATGGGGTAAGAAGAGAGTTAGGGAACTGTTAGCGAATTAATGCCCAAATCATGGGACCTTGCGCTGGTTCTAACCACACAGCGTCTGAACGCACCCAGGTCTGTTGATTAGAGCGTAGTGCTGATAACGCCAAAGTTTGCAGGTTTGATCCCCGTATGGGACAGCTGCATATTCCTGCATTGCAGGGGGTTGGACTAGACGATCCTCAGGGCCCTTTCCAACTCTACAATTCTATGAAACCCGGATTGGCTTATGCTGAAGAACCGCCACGTGTGCTTGTTTTAACTTCAAAGTCAATGTGGCTTGACAAAGTGGGGATGCGCACCGTGCGCCACGTCCGTTGAACATGAATTATGTTAAGCAATAAGAACCCCCACCCCAAACGCGTTTCCTGGCTTTCAACCAGCTGCTCTTCCAAAGATATGCGCTTAGGGTCACAGCCTTAGAAGCAGGTAGATGGAAGCGATCCAAGTTCAGGAAAGGCTCTTTTACATCGGGGAAAAAGAAAGCCCCAGGTCCATGCTTTACGAGGGTTTGAACAAGTTTCCTTTCATTTCCCGCCAGATCTTAAAACCCTTTTCCATTGAATGGAATAAAAGTACCGTCAACATCAGCAGAACTTGTTTCCAGAATGGAAGATTGCACAGGTACTTGGGAGTAAGCCCCACGAAGTTCAGTGGGGATCACTTCCGAGTTAACCAGCGCAGAACCAGGAGGGAGGTGGGACATGTCGGTTTCAGGCTCAGAACCCAGGACCCAAGGATGCCAACTTGAATAAAATATTGGGGGCCCAGGTAAGCCCTGCCCCGCATAATATATCACAAAACGTGGCGCGCACACACCATTTTAATAGCAATGCCCATTAACTTTGGGGGGCGAAGGGACTCTTAAGAGTTGCCTCCTACGCTAGGACCCGAGTATTGGACAGCCCACAGCTCACTTGGCGCGACACTTACTTTTCGGGGGCGCGTTCCTCTTGACTTTCATCCACTCGAAGGTGCTGAGCGCGATCCGGGAGCCGGCCTTGACGCAGAAGTCCGAGGAAGGGGGCGGCGGGGGCGGCGCATCCTTGGCGCAAGGCTGGAAGGTGTCGCTGAGCGCGCCGTAGTCCACTTGGAGGTAAGCGCCGCCGCCGCCGCCGCCCGCAATGATAGACGTGGTGGCGTAGTGTAGGGGAGCGCCGGTCTCGTCTGGGCCGCCGGGGGCCGCGTAAGGCGCCTCGGGCCGGAGCAAGCTGTACTCTGCCGCCGCGAAAGCGCTGCGCGCCAGGGCGCAAGGCGCCAGCTGTTGCTGCGGTTGCGCCGAGCGCGGGGAGAAATCCGGCAAGCTTCCTGCAGCCGGCGTGGGGTAGGCGCCTTCCCCGCCTGCGGACAGGGGACAGGGCGGCCGCAGAGCCACGCCACCGGGCTCGGAGCTTCCGAATTTGGTCGCCAGGCTCAAGCCATCTCCGCCCCGTGCGAGATACTCCAGGAAGGAGTTCATGGCGGGTCCCTGAGCAAGACGAGAGCGCGCCGGAGAAGGGGCAGCAGGGTGACTACGAGGCAGCCACGGCGCCCGCTGCGTTCTCTGGACCACCTCCTCCTCCTCCTCCCTCAACCATGGTAAAGCCGGCTGGGAGGTAAATAAGTGCCCTAAGATAGAGCCAGGGGAGCTGGCACGTGCTCGCCGGCTGGCCAATGGGAGCCGCGAGTTAGGCGCGCGACCTGGGATGCAGCCGACCTGTCCCGGGCATCACCAGCCACAACTTTGCCAACGGAGAAGATGATGCAGGAAGCAGCAGCAGCGATGTGGGCGGGGGCGCAGGGAGGTGCCTAGTCATGCCTAAGCCTCCGAGGACGGTTAGGGACCCAGAGAGAGAGAGAGAGAGACCCCGGCAAGTGTGGTAAGAGATCCGTTTCTCTCATTAGCGCTGGAATGAGGTTGCTTTTATGGAGAGGGGACTCTGACCAAAGTTTGACTTTGTGCAAACGGGATCATCACCACCCGAGTCCATCGGGCGAGCCTTCTCAGCAAGGGATAAGCCGCTGGGACAAGAGATATGGCCACGCGGAGGGCAAGGAGGGCTGGGAAGCAGCTGGGAGGGAGGGTAACTAACTAGTCCGCTTCCATTAAGCATCTCGCCCATCCCATCCCAAGAATGAATGGAAGAGTGCTCGTGTTCAGGCTCCAAGTCAGAGGTTATTCTAGGCTGGAAAATAAGTGAGAACTAGTCTGGTGTTCAGTTTAGGCGCGGGGGGAGAGAGGTCCCCTTGACCTGAAAGTAGATGTCAGTGAACTCTACAGAACTTGCTTTCAGAGTTAGGACGGAATTACCAGACAGAATCCTCTCTTTATCCGCTTGCCTTGGCCAAATCGCTGTGGTCTCAACATCTAACAGCAATGGTTATGAAATAAAATATTAATTTTAAAAGTGGAACTTTAATCCTGTTTAATGCTCACTGATGAATTTAGGCGCACCTAATAGGGTCGGGGCTCTAAGAACTGCTATAGCAATCATTTATCTTCTCCACCTCATAGGAGCCAACTCTTAGAGGCTGAGGTCCCTTCGTGTCCGTCCCCCCAATAAAATAGTTGAGGGACCCGAGCCCCCAAAGTTGATGGGCATTGCCATTCATGTGCGAGCGCCCCATGATGAACGCCGTGATTATGCAGGGCGGGGCTTACCGGACCCACCCCCTCAATATTTTATTCAAGTTGGCACCGCTGCCCCAGCTACACACACACACATCCTTTGACACTGTTCTCTCTTAGGCAGTCCTCTATGCTAACTGATGAGCGAAAGGCTGAATAGTTTGTTCGGTTCCACCTCTGGCTTCTCTTCCCAAAGAGCGGATATCAAATAACCTCGGTTCGGGGTTCCTCCACCTCCAGGCTGACGAGCCTACAGTCTTCTTTGGGTTGACTTGGGAGTCAATCTGAACTTCTTGGAATTGCTTTCCTCGCGGAGCCTGAACAGGGCTGCGCTGAGCCAATTCTTCAGCAATCGCTCCCTCACTCCAGTTTGGGGCGGGGAGCTCCAAACCTTGGCGCGCTCCCGCACCGCTGCCGCCTTCCATCCTGCCCTGCCCTGCCAAAGACGGGTAAGCTCTCGTCCTGCCAGGCTGGACATTAAGACGGGACTCAAGGTTCTTCCGGAACATAATATAGCAGGTGCTTCCACTCTGCAGCAGCTGTAGTTCAAAGGGGAGTGGGGTGGGAGAAGTTCTCCACTCAGTCTAAAGTCCTGGGTCCTCCCTGTCGTGATGGGAACGGAAGCACTGTGGTTTCCAGTGAAACTAAGTTATTGGAGTGAGGGTGGTTCGCTGCAACCTTTTCCTTCTGTCTTTGCTCAGAGAACTGAAGCACATCATATCTCTCTCTCCCCCCCGCCCCCGCGTGCGCTTTCGAATGACTCTTTGAGCTAGGCTAAAAAGCATCCGGAAGCCAAAACAGATCAGGATGGTGTCAACAATGCGCGCTACTGTACGGAGCAGCTATTAATGGTCCTCGGCCAGCCAGTAAGTGCTCTGTGGGTCTTTGCAAGTGAATCTGAGGCCTCGCGATGTTAATGGGATTTCTTGTTTCCCTTGATAATAATAACAGCCTTGTTGCTTTAATGACTGCTTTCAGTTGGCATAGTAGAAAAGAAAGGAAGTGGGCTTACAAATGGCGAATTTTTTCCTCCCTCCCTGTTTTTTTTTGGGGGGGGGAGGCGGGGGTATTTTCCTGCTGCAGCAGAAAATTACTCCCTTCCCACCCAAAGTTTCAGATGATCATCCTGATTTGTTTCTAAACAGTAACAAAGTACTGACTTTTCAAAGCATAATTCTGATGATGTCTAACTTGTACTTTGGAGTTGTGTTTGAATCCAGGTGTCTATGCAAGAAGTGTGGGAATGTTCAGGGAGGCAGGAGAGGATATATTGTTTAATAATATCCTTCCCAACTTGTGTTAGCAAGTTCTATAATCTAGCAGAGTAACATTCCCTTTTTAAACTTACACAGCAGATAACTTGTTGCCAGGCTTGCTTAAGTCTCTAAAATAAGTTTCTTGGTAATTCTCTTTTATTCCCTCCTAAAAAGAATAGACACGACACAGTCTTGGTATAAAATAGTTTACTCACACATTCTGTTCACAGATGGATCCCAGAAGTCAGACTTAAGTTACAAAATATATACGCTTGGAATCTATCCCATAAGGAGATAGTTCCTTTGTCTCACTTGGCTGGAGGCCAAGAGAGCATCTCAGGCTGAGCAGCTGATGCTTCTACAATGAAAGCAAGATGGAGGAGAGAGAGAGAGATGATGGCCAGCCCTGTGCTTATGTTACCTGCACAGGTAAGGTCACGCCCACCTCTGGTCACATGTGGAGGAAGTTTGTCCCAGCCTAGGAGGAAACAGGAAGTTCCAACTGGCTGGTACAAACATGGCCACTCTAGGAATGTTGTATTTGACTGCTCTGTGTTTCACATCCCACAAGAAGACCCCCCACCCCTCAGTCTTTTGTATTTAAAATCAGTAGTTTCAGAAAAAGAAGAGCTGCCATTCACACCTGATTGAAAACCATGTCTTGGACCCTGCATAGAAGGCCTTCCCTGGAGAGGGGTGTCTGCTTCAGTAGTAAGGGTAATGTATTCCAAGTAGTTGTTTTTGTACTAGTTGTATATCCACTGTTTATCATACTCTGGATATCACCCAGAACTTTATGGAACAATCTTACATTTACAGAGCAAAATATCTTCTTGAATTATATACCCAGCACATTGAACCTTACAAAAAGGCAATACAAGTGGACTCTTCATGCCCTGGCTACAGCAAAAAGACTGATACTGATGAATTGGAAAAATAAACACAGACTTGCCATGGACAAATTCAATGATATTTGGAATCCATTCTTACAAATACTGTGATAGGTTAAGACAGTGCTTTTTTCTTTTTAAAAAATGTTTAGGGGTACTCTCATTAGATTCACAAAATGTTTAGGGGTATGCGTCCCCATGCGCCCCGCCCCGCCCCCGAAAAAAAGCACTGGGTTAAGATCTGGTGAAGTACAATAACAACCTTGTAAAGTATACATTTTTGGAGTTTTCCCCCTCCCCACTTTATTTTCCCTTCTACATGGGATCTGTTTCTCTTTTTCTTACTCTCTTCTTTTATTTACGTCTCACAATGTTTAGTGCACATATAATTATGTACTTTTTGAACTTTCAATATATATATATTTTTTAAAAAAGAAAGAAAGAAAATATTAAACTGCATCTCAACGAAGCTTCCCAGGTTGATATCCAGTATCAACAATAAAACCTTAAAATCATCAATAAACATAAATAATTGGTCCAACAATTTTTAGCAGTACATAATTCTGTGGGAGTGTTCAGGGTGGCAGGAGAGGATATATTGTTTATTAATATTCTTCCTAACTTACGCTAGCAAGTTCCTTTATGTAGGAGAGTTACATTCCCCTTTATATATACACAGCAGATATGTGGTTGCAGGCTCGTGTGAGCCTCTCACTATTATACAATTCAATCTGTCTCAGACTGAATTGTACGTTCCTGGCAAATTTCCTTTAATCCCTCTTAAAAGAATATAGACACAACAACCTTATTTAAAGTCAATAAAAGAAGTTTACTCACATCAGTTCACAGTTGGATTCCTGAAGGCAGACTTAGTTACAAATATGCACATGTGGATCTACCCCATATGGGGGAATAATCCCAGTGTTTCTGCTAGCTGAGAGCTAGCAGAGCAGTCCTAGCTAGAAGCTGGTCAAACAAAGAAGGAAGTCAAAAAGAGGGAGGTGTGCTATGTGACTCGTCCTTTTGTTACCTGGGCAGGTTAGGTCACGCCCGCCTTCTATCACATGCAAAAGGAAGGATGCTCCAGCCAGGAGGAACAGGAAGTTTCGACTGGCTGGACCAAACATTCCCTCGCATGTCTTCTCTAGCATTACAAGGAATGCTGTACTTCACTGCCTCTCATGGATCACATCCCACAAATTCCACAGCTAACGAAATAGCTAGCCATTTCACCAGTCCCTGAAGGCCAGGGGGGAAAGTGATATCAGTGAGGGAGTAGGCCATACCTCTAATGTAAGCAAGGTCTTCAATTGGGGTGCCATAACAGATAAAACCCTGCAGTGCCCCGCTGCAAAGGGAGCCATGTCTATGCATGGAATAACCAGCAGAGCATGCTCAAAGCCTCTCCGTCATGACTTCACATATGCTTGGCTGAGTGTACATATTGCAAAGTTCCGCTGTTGAGCACTGGTGAACTCTGTTTCTGATCAGTACTGCTATTTTATGAATGCAAACTTGGGATCAAGTCCTACTGAACACATTTCCTTTGGTGTAAACAATAAGATCAGACTATCAGTTAACAGAGCTTCTAAATCATAGAGGCATCACTTGTTTTTATAGTTTCTTGGCCTCTGTGGGTGCTCCTGCAGGGTAAGGAGCCAGCCTTATGCTGCAAGCCAATCACAGCTTTCAACTTGTTGCCATA